TAATAAAAATGAAGTCAATGTCAAATGAAAGGTCAAGGTAAAAAAAATATTGCAGTTGCATAGCTCTCATCAGTATTTTTCAGCATGTGAAGTTTGATAACACTATTTTGAAAGGTATGTTAAAACTGAGCTAAACACTTTTCATGGAAAAAGAGGTCAAGATCAAAAGAAATGCAAAGATCAAAGCATGTTAATGCAGTTGCATAGCTCTCATCAATATCTATGCGTCTATAAAGTTTGATGAAAATATTTTGGACAGTTTCTTTCAAAATGAGCTTTTACCTGAGCTAAAGGCAAATTTTCACGGAAGGGCAAACAGAAGGACAAAAGGACAGAAAGACGGTAGTACGGAAGACATGACAAACTTTTACCTTAAATTTTACCTTTAATAACAGTAGTTACCTTAACTTTTCATATAGTGTCTATTGCCTTTTAATAATAAATAAGACCAATATTAAGATAAACAATAGAAAACAAAGAAGTAAACCAATGGGAAAAGAAAAGAATGTAGTATAATTAAAGAAGAAGGAGAAAAATATACAGAACACCAAGTTAAAATTTAAAAAAAAAAACCAATTAAACAGTCACATGAAGGACTTGCTGAAATTCATTCATCTTAGTTCTGTTGCAGATAAACATGATATATTTTGTTCAAAAAAGTCCACAAAATGAGCTAATCAATTGACGCTAAAATAACTTTTTAAAACTATTTCAGTGACTGTTAACCAACCATTATTTGCCTCATCTTTTAATCGCAATTCGACTGTTAAAAATCTATCAACGACTGAGGAAAACTCACATGTATGTATGAATACAAGGCAACATGAATTGTTCGCCAGAATTTATATTCGCGAATAAAGGTAGGTCGAAAACTTTTCGATATTTCTCACAAGTGAATAGAGGTTGGTTTTAGAATTATTTTATTGATTTAATTCGATTCATGGAGTTGATATATGCATGTTACTCACCTGATATCGGTGTCCTCCACGTGCTGTATTCACCAACTGGAAGAAAAAAATGGTACATGAATAATCAAGAAATAAATCAATATAACATTCAATAGTCTATCTCATAAGTCTAAAACCAGTTCAACTACCTTAACGTTTGAAAAAGACATAGAATCTAGCTAACGAAAGATAGGAACCAAGATACCTGTACGTTATCTAATTCTTCTTGATGAAGGATATGGAAACAACGAACAGCACTCAATCTCAATGGCCACTAAACAAACATACAAACCAAGAGCAGAGCAAACACGGACCCCCGAAACACCAGAGGTGGGATCAGGTGCCATGGAGAAGTGAGCATCCCCTGACGACCGGTCACACCCGCCGTGTGCTCGTTGTCATAATCAGGAAATAACGGAAAAATCCGTGGTCAATTCAGTGTATAAATAATGGACTAACAATTGGTATGAAAAACGTCAGTCAGCATTTCATTCAATGATAAATTGTATTTGCTGACAAGGTCATTGTATCGACCATAGAATTTACGAAATGATGACTTTAAACGAGACTGTTGATATTCTTGTTTCATCAACTTGCTTGTCAATAATTTACCTCGTTGAAGAAATTGTTCATACGTAGAGCATGCTCTTGCGTATCGAATCAACTGAGATATAAATACTCCGTATGCAGGTGATGAAGGTATATTGCTGCATAAGTAAGGGAAGTTGACGATAGAAAAGTTAAAATCATCACGTTTATCATATAGTTTGGTTGTTAGATTACCATTAGTGTCTTTTTCAAGTAAAATATCCAAGTATGAAGCAGAGGTGTCGGACTCTGTGGTATCTTTTATCTCAAGCTCACCAGGATATATCGTGTCGACGTAGGAATGGAAATTATCATTATTAATTTACAATACGTCGTCGATATATCTAAATGTCAAGTTGAAGGCCACAGGAAGTGTTTTCTTCTTTTCACGCAAAAGATTTTGCATTAATTCTGCTTTATATGAATATAAAAATAAGTCTGCTAATAACGGAGCGCAATTTGTACCCATGGGAATTCCAATAGATTGTTGGAATACCTGGTCTCCAAAAACCACATAGATATTGTCAATCAGAAACTCAAGCATCTGATATATTGTCCTGAGTTCATTTGGCTTTGTTTGAGTCTGAATAATGTTTATGCAAACAAATATTTGTCATAATAATATGATATAGGATGAGTAATAGCCCTAAAAATGAAAACAAAAACGTGTGAATATCCTCAATATCGTAAATATTTTGCTCAGTCTATAGCAAGATATTGAACCTCAACCCTAGAGAGCGGTGATCATGATATGTAAATATTTTCCTCTTTATTATTTGATGTCCAAGAAAAACACACATTAAAATATAATTTATTTCAGTCAAACAGAAACACATACATATCTTTCAACAATTCTAGAATACGTACTACCCGAAATTCTAGGGCGCTTAAAATATGTGATATGCATTCTTTTGAAATAAAAAAAATCAAACCTGAAGAAGTTAAGTATTTACGTTATGTATTCATGCCTTTCTAAGGCAGCAATGTCACCTGCATTTATGGTTTTTATTGAATCGATATGTCAGTGGATGTTCTACGTAAAACTGCGTATGATACTAAGTATAATTTAATTCTCAATTAAAACAAGCTATTGACAAATTAGATAAGGAAATGTTTTGCATATTTTATTATCTTATTTTCTGCACATTCCTAATCAAATTTTGATCCCTAATTGGTACTACATGGAAATCCTTTTAACAAACCCTAGCATTCATTTTCCCATATGTCGGCCTCCACTGACCTATTGTGATTATAATTTTGGTACTGATTTGAATTTACATTCACTTTATATAAAAGTTGCATAAAACTATAAAGCAGGTTAAAGCATTCCTTTTCTAAATCGATTTAACAACTTTCCTTATCATTGTTAAACTGTTAATCTTCTTTTGTGTCTCTATTCTCCTTCAGTTGCAGAAATTTATCATGCAGAAAATCAAATGTAAGAGGGAATTTACCATCTGACGATTGACGCGTAAAACATATGTCAGACATGCAGCAAGACAATGAGAACGATATGAGAACGATATGGAGATAAGGAACAATATTCAACATCAAAGTCCATAAAACAATACAAGAATAGGAGCAGAGCAAACTCGGACCTCCGAAACATCAGAAATAGGATTAGGTTTCATAGAGGAGTGAGCATCCCCTGTTGAGTGCTCACACCTGCCGTGTACTCCTTGTCATGATTAGAAAATAACGGTTAAATCCGTCGTCAATTCAGTATATAGATAATGGACTAGCAATTTGTATGAAAAACGTCAGTTAGCATTTGCTAATTGACTCAATGATTAACTGTATTTGTTGATAGGGTCATTGTATCGACCTTAGAACTTACAAAATGATGACTTTAAAAGAGCTTGTTAATATTCTTGTTTCATCTTTCTTTCTTGTATTTTTGTACGAACTATTGCATACAGCGTATGTATGTATGTATTACATGTATGTACAAATACAAGGCAAGATAAATTGATTGCCACAATTTGTATTCGCGAATAAAGGTAGGTTGGAAACCTTGTGAATATTTCTCACAAGCGAATAAAGGTTGGTATTTTGAATCAATTTATTGATTTATTCGATTCATGGAGTGGATATATGTAAGTTGCTCACCTGGTGTCTGTGTCCTCCACCTGTTATAATCAGCCACTGGAAGAAAAAATGGTACATGAATAATCAAGGAATAAATCAAAACAACATTCAATAGTCTATCTTATAAGTCTAAAATCAGCTCAACTACCTTAATGTTTGAAAAAGACATAGAATCTAGCTAACGAAAGATAGGAACCAAGATACCTGTACGTTATCTAATTTCTCTTGATATCTTGTCCTGAGTTCATCTGATTTTGTTTGAGTAAGAATAATGTTTATGCAAACAAATATTTGTCATAAAAATATGATATGTTGATGCAGTTGATAATTTCTCATCAATTTTGTATCAACATACAAAGTTTGATGAACACATCTTGAATTGTTTCTTGAAAATTGCCTAAAACACAATTTAATAAAAGTGAAGTCAATGTCAAATGAAAGGTCAAGATAAAAAATATTGCAGTTGCATAGCTCTCATCAGTATTTTTCAACATTTAAAGTTTGATAACACCATTTTTAAAGGTATGTTAAAACTGAGCTAAACACTTTTTATGGAAAAAGAGGTCAAGATCAAAGGAAGTGCAAAGATCAAAGCATGTTAATGCAGTTGCATAGCTCTCATCAATATCTATGCGTCTATAAAGTTTGATGAAAATATCTTGGACAGTTTCTTTCAAAATGAGATTTTAACTGAGCTAAAGGCAAATTGTGACGGAAGGGCAAACAGAAGGACAAAAGGACAGAAAGACGGTAGTACGAAAGACAGACATGACAAACTTTTACCTTAAATTTTACCTTTAATAACAGTAGTTACCTTAAATTTTCATATAGTGCCTATTGCCTTTTAATAATAAATAAGACCAATATTAAAATATACAATAGAAAACAAAAAAAGTAAACCAGTGGGAAAAGAAAAGAATGTAGTATAATTAAAGAAGAAGAAGAAAAATATACAGAACACCAAGTTCAAATTAAAAAAAACAATTAATTAGTCACATAAAGGACTTGCTGAAATTCATTCATCTTAGTTCTGTTGTAGGTAAACATGATATATTTTGTTCAAAAACGTCCACAAAATGAGCTAATCAATTGACGCTAAAATAACTTTTTAAAAATATTTCAGTGACTGTTAACCAATCATTATTTGCCTCATCTTTTATTCGCGATTCGACTGTTAAAAATCAATCAACGACTGAGGAAACATTACATGTATGTACGAATACAAGGCAACATAAATTGTTCGCCACAATTTATATTCGCGAATAAAGGTAGGTCGCAAAACTTGTGGATATTTCTCAAAAGCGAATAGAGGTTGGTTTTTAGAATCATTTTGTTAATTAATTCGAATCATGTAGTGGATATATGTATGTTGTTCACCTGATATCTGTGTCCTCCACGTGCTGTAATCACCAACTGAAAGAAAAAATTGTACATGAATAATCAAGAAATAAATCAATATAACATTCAATAGTCTATCTTATTAGTCTAAAATCAACTCAACTACTTAAACGTTTGAAGTAGACATAGAATCTAGCTAAATAAAGCTAAATAAAGAAAGGAAGCAAATTACCTGTACGTTATATAATTCTCCTTGATATCTTGTCCTGAGTTCATCTGGTTTTGTTTTAGTAAGAAAAATGTTATGCAAACAATTATTTGTCATAACAAGAGGCCCACGGGCCTTATAGGTCACCTGAGTATTATGTTACAACTTTCAAACAATCAAATTTGGTTCGTGTTTTAAACCAGGGGCCATGAAATTCACAATCCACAATTTTGAAAGAGGCACCATTGCTTTTCATAATTAACTTTTCATCCTTACTGTATTTACTTAATACCCACAGGTAGATAAGTATAACAAAGAGAAAATGCACTTCCACTTTATACCCAGTTGTGCACCTTACCCCAAAGGAACCACTGACCCAGGGGCCACATATTTCAAAATTTTGAAAATTTCATCATGGTTGATTAATACCAAAGAGCTGATTTCAAAGCATTGATTTATTTTTAGACTATGTACCCCCCCCCCCCTCTGACCCAGGGTGCATAAAAAACTACTTTGCTAGGTGCATCTTTCCTCATCATAAATATATATACTTGGATCATTGGTATAAAACCCAGAAGAAAAGGAAAATATTTTCAAAGAATTAATGTATTTTTACTATATTCAATCAATAGAGCCCCAACCTAACACCAGAACCCCTGACCCTGGGGCCATAAAATTCACAGTTTTAGAAGAGGCACTCTTGCTCATCATAACTATGTACTCAATTAGTTTATTTAATACCCAGAAGCAGAGAAGAAGATTTTCAGAGAATTTATGCATTTTCACTATATAATCAATAGAGCCCCCCCCTCCTAACACCAGAACCCCTGACCCTGGGGACATTAAATTCACAACTTTGGAAGAGGCCCTCTTGCTCATCATAACTATGTACTTAGTTCATTTAATAACCAGGAGCAGAGGAGAAGATTTTCAAAGAATAAATGCATTTTCACTAGATAATCAATACAGCCCCGTCTTACACTAGAACCCCTGACCCTGGGGGCCATAAAATTCACCATTTTTAAAGAGGCACTCTTGCTCATCATAACTATGTGCTTAGTTAGTTTATTTAATACCCAGAAGCAGAGGAGAAGATTTTCAAAGACTAATGCATTTTCACTATTTAATCAATAGAGCCCCAACCTAACACCAGAACCCCTGACCCTGGGGCCATAAAATTCACAATCTGGAAGATGCACTCTTGCTCATCATTACTATGTACTTAGTTAGTTTATTTAATACCAAGGAGCGGAGAAGAAGATTTTCAAAGAAATCACAAAGAAATGCATTTTCACTATATAATCTATATAGCCCAACCCTAGCACTAAATCCCCTGACCCCAGGGCCATGAATTTTACAATTTTGGTAGAGGACTCAATGCTCATTAAATTCATGCCAACAGTTTCCCTGATTGATGTCCAGGGGTAAGGAATAAGATTTTTAAAGATTGCAATAATTTTAGTGGTTTTGGCCCCACAACTCAGGCCCCAGGGGGGCGAGGACCATGAAATTCACAATTTTTGTTCCCCTTCACCCATAGATGCTTTATACTAGATTTGGTTGAAATTGGTTCAGTGGTTTCAGAGAAGAAGCTGAAAATGTTCAAATGTTAACATACGACACACGACGCACGACACACGACGCACGATGACGGACGAAAACGGATAGCAATAGGTCACCTGAGTTACTCAGGTGACCTACAAATATGATATGGGATGCGTAATAGCCCTAAGAATGAAATCGAAAACATGCGTGAATATCCTCAATATCGTTGATATTTTGCTCAATCTACAGCAAGATGCTGAACCTCAACCCTAGAGAGCGGTGATCATGATATGTAAAATTCTCCCTCTTTATCATTTGATGAACCAGAAAAACACACATTAAATTTTAAATTATTTCAGTCGAACAGAAACACTTATATCTTTCAACATATTTAGAATATGTACTACCCGAAATTCTAGGACGCTTAAATATGTCATATGCATTCTTTTGAAATAAAAAAAATCAAACCTGAAGAAGTTAAGTATTTACGTTATGTATTCATGCCTTTCTAAGGCAGCAATGTCACCTGCATATATGCTTTTTATTGAATCGATATGCCCCTGGATGTTCTATGTAAAACTACGTATGATACTACGTATGATTTTATTCTTAATTGAAACAATCTATTGACAAAGAAGATACGGAAATGTTTTGCATATTTTATTATCTGATTTCCTGCTCTTTTCTCATAAAATTTTGATCCCTAATTGATACCGCATGAAAATCCTTTGAACAAACTCAAACATACATTTTCCCATATGTCGGCCTCCACTGACCTATTGTGATAATAATGTGGGTACTGATTTGAACATACAATCACTTCATATAAAAATTGCCTAAACCTATAGGTTAAAGCAGAACAGTCCATTTCTCAAATCAATTAAACAACGTTCTTTGTCATTATCATTGTAAAACTCTTAATCTTCTATTGTGGCTCTATTCTCCTTCAGTTGCAGACATTTTTCAAACAAAAATTCATATTTCAAGAGGAAAATAACCATCAAACGATTGACGCGTAAAACATATGTGAGACACACAGCAAGACACTGAGAACTATACGAGAAAGATATGGAGATAACGAACAGTATTCAAGCTCAAAATTCAATAAAACAATAGAATAAGAGGAGCAGAGCAAACTTGGACCTCCGAAACATCAGAGGTAAGATCAGGTGCCATGGAGGAGAGCATCCCCTGTTGAGCGGTCACACCCGCCGTGTACTCCATGTCATGATCAGGAAATAACGGCAAAATCCGTCATCAATTCAGTATATAAATAATAGACTAGAAATTAGTATGGAAAACTTCAGTTAGCATTTGACTCAATGATTAACTGTATTTGTTGAAAGGGTCATTGTATCGACCTTAAAACTAAAAAAACATACATTTAAACGAGCTTGTTAATATTCTTGTTTCATCAACTTGGTTCTAGAGCAGACTGTCCAACCACTGCGCCTCGCTGGCAATTCTTCTAATGAAAATGTTTCTTAATTATCACTCGGTTTACTTTTTTAAATGTCATTTATTCTGCAGTCTGTACAGAACCAGCTAGCTTAGCAATATACTGTTGTCAGAAATTTGGGCTTTTTAGACATATTCCAACTTAAAAATATTTTCAGAGAAGCCTGTGGCTCACTTTTTTCTGAAAAATGTCATTTTTAACAAAACAATTTTTTTGACATGTTTAAAATGTTGTTTAACCTGTGGACTGAACAGAAGACCGGGGACCTTGCACCATTACATTTATTATAGTTATAGTCCTCTTTAACGTTTTATGCTCTTAATAATGAAACAGCACTTTAAGTAAAATTATCAATTTCACCATATTTTCGGTATGGTTTTACTTGATCTTCAAAAAGCATTTGACACAGTTGATCATGGTATTTTGTGTGAGAAACTTAGTGCTATTGGTATTTAATCAATCGAATTGTTTAAATCATATTTGAGCAACAGGAAACAACTTGTAAAATTAATAATAATAATACAAATTCTACATTATGCGATGTGACACGCGGAGTACCTCAAGGAAGTTTGCTTGAGCCTCTTTTATTTTTAATTTTTGTCAATGACTTACAGTCTTGTATAGACTTAGAATGTAAAGTACTTTTATATGCTGATGATACTGCTCTACTTTTTTCCCACAAAGATCCAAATGTTATTTCTAAAAAACTCTCTTGTATGTTATAACTCTGTCAAGATTGATTAGTAGACAATAAGATTTCCCTACATTTGGGTAAAACGGAGAGCATTTTATTTGGTACTCGAAGAAAACTTGATAATCTTAATCTTGAATCTTTTTCCTTATTTTGCAATGTAGTCAGAATTGAAACAAAATATGTGTGGAATATTTGGGTGTATTTTTAGATAATGTACTCTCTGGTGAAAAAAAATGTTGAAAATATTATCAGCAAGACAAATCAGCGACTGAAATTTCTTTTTAGATATAAATATTTATGTTCAGCTTTAATCCAGTGTCATTCTGACTATGCTTGCTCTTGTTGGTATGAAGGTTTAACAAAAAATATGAAAAATAGACTACAAGTTGCTCAAAATAAAGTTATCAGGTTTATACTCAATAGCCACCAAAGAAAGATAATTACTTTTGACGAATTTGAAAAAGTATAGGCTTCTTGAATGAATGTTAGTAATAGAGTTTCTCAACTCCGACTTAATCATGTGTTTAATATTTTTCATGAGAAATGTCCAACTTATTTATCTGAACATTTTTTTTCAAAACTCTACAAGAACAAACCAGAACAACTAGGTCCAGCAAGTTGAACTTTTTTATCCCAAGAATTGTTAAGTCAGAGTCGGAAACTTTCTATTCCAATGGTATCAAGGAGTGGAATTCACTTCCAGATGAGATAAAATCCATCAAAAACAAAGGTCTTTTCAAAAAAGAATTAAAAAAAACACCTTTTATTTAAAATGCGCTCAATATCTGAAAATGAGTTTTTATACCATTAGTTTCTTAAAACATACATATTGTCTTATTTATTTATGTTTTATTTATCATTATTCATATCATATCATTTGGTGCTAAGTAGGTTAATTACTATGAGGACCCCATTGGAAATAAGCACATTATTGGTTTCATGGGTCATCCTCAGGTACATGGCTATACTTAGTACAAAACGTATATAGTTACCCGGTATTCTCTTTTAGATATACTGAATTAAGTGTTTATCTTAAGTACTTGTTTTTTATGACATAATGCTAGTGTTTTATTAATTACAATTGTATTTTTTATGAAATTATGATTTCTTTGGATTCCTGCCAGCTTTGTTCTTATATGTCTATCTTATGCTACATATATGACATGTGCCATTTCCTGAATAAACAAACAAACAAATACAAATATATGATGTTAAAAGTTAACTTTTTAATAAAAGGTTTTTAATTGCTGTGAAACACGCGTTATTGTTAGAAAAACGTTGTAGTATAAAAATATTATCAATGTAGTCGTAAAATAGATATGCTTATTCTTTTTTGATAAACAAAAACCATTATAATAATATGGATTTTATAAGAAAAAGATGCTGACTTATAGAAGATATAAACAACGGGGACACAAACATATATTTTTTTCCATTCCAAGGCGATTCCATGTAAAATAGTTAAAACAATGCTAAGGTATGTGGACGTATTGCATAAATACACTCATATTTTAAATTGCAATTCAAGACTAAAATATATCTGCGTGTATTTTTTTATGGTGATATTAAGAAGACTTCTATATGTATCCGTAGACATGTCCCGACAATGATTGTACTCGGACAAGATGAGAGGAATCGATTTTGTTTATAAATGATACTATCATTTTTCTCCATTTGCTAAAAAAGCACTACATATACATCTCTCAATTGAACAAAGAAAATCAAACCTCAACCATAAGTAACCAATGGTATCGGAACTACATTTGTGCATTGATTAGTTGTTGATTCTGTAAGTACAACATTATTTACAATAAATGAACACATACACATACGCACCCTCACACACACCCTTCCTTATTATGTATGTCATAAAAAGTTTTTGAATCCAAAAACACTATAAAAATAAACGATATATATTTACGTGAAACAAGGATCTTGTATTTCAGTAGACTTAAATAGAAAGAAAATATTTTTAAAGAAAAACAAAATATAATGTTAGTTGATTTTTTAACCCTTTTGAAAGTGAATTTCTGTTCTGTTTCAGCATTGCGGAAACCATATGGAATCGAAATAAATAGTTTCCTGAAACTGAAATCTACTGAAGCAAAAAAGTATTGTAACATTGAAGTTTAAATTTAATTAACTATTATTTGGTTTATGGTTTGCATTGCAAAAATCATACAGGAATGGTTCATTAAGGTTCCCATACAGTTTCATTTTACGGAAACTGGAATTTTCATCCAGTATCTTTTATATAGCAAAAGCTAATATAAGACTGAAATAAAGAGGTGCCAATTTACATAAATTCTTACTGTGCATTCTTCGAATAAGCTCCAACTCCCCTTCTATATTAGATTTGCTATTCCTTAGGATCCCAAGCTCCCCCTCCACTGATTCTATACTGACACCAACCTCTGTGATACCATGATCCCTCTCCTGCAGTTCACCTTTGACATCAGTCTCTGTGACATCATGCCCCCTCTCCTGCAGTTCTCTACTGACACCAGCCTCTGTGACATCATGCCCCCTCTCCTGCAGTTCTCTACTGACATCAGTCTCTGTGACATCATGCCCCCTCTCCTGCAGTTCACCATTGACATCAGTCTCAGTAATACTATGCTCCTTTTTCTTTGAGTCACTATGAATATCACTTTCTGATTTACTATAATCCGTTTCCGCTGGTTCAAAATTGACACCATATTTCTTATCATTTGGTTCATTAAGGACTCGAGTTTCAGTATCATCAATTTCCACTTTATCTCCCATTGTTTCACTACTAACGTAAACCTTGCGGATATAATATTTTATTTCTTCATTTTGACTACCTTCATCACTCTGCGTGATATCATTTTCGCTCTCGTTTTGTTTACTACTGGTGCCTGTTTCATCTCCCTTTGTAGCCCCTATGAGAAGAATATTTCAATGAATACATTGTAAGTTTCTGTTGTTGATTTATTTTTATTGTTGTTATCTAATCGATTTCAGATGTAGTGGAATATTTAGTCCACAGCTTCAGGTAAAACATTTTTAACTGCAACTATGGACTACACATTCCACTAGAATTTTTTTCTTTCCCCTAATATTACATATAATGAAATTTAATTTAAAAAAATATTACATATTCAAGATACCTTGGACAACTTTCTCCTCTGTTTCCATCAATAAGTTTTCTTTTTCAGCTGAAATATAGAAATATTATCAATAATTGGCTGGAAAATACTTTATTTTCAAGCATTAATATATTGGTGTTCATTTAAAAAATGTCATTTTATAATTTGCGAGACGGTTTTTATTATTCTTGTTTTTTTAAATTGAGACAATTTTCTATATTTGAAAACAAACTATTAATCAGACTGACTAGTAAACTCTTGAATACATGTAAGGCATAATAGAACAACATACTCAAAAATTCCTTTCTTTCTTTTCTTTTCTGTTTGTGCATTCTCTTCCATACAACCCTCACAATTATCAACAGCAGTATAAGACCCAGTACAGCAACAACAATGCCCATAATTGCCCCAATGTGTGCTGAGTCATCTTCTTGGAATTTGGTTGTATGAATATTCTTTGCTGTTGTGTTGTATATTACATGATTTGTTGTGGACTTGGATATAAATTTTTCCGCTGTTTCTTCAGTAGATATATCCCATGTCCTTTTTGGGGAAAAATAATTTTGTTAGAAACTCCTTACTACATGCAGAATGATTTTTAATTCAAACCAATAAATACACTATTACTTACGTATTTGGACATGATGGATCAGCAAGATAACAACGATGTTCTGTACTAATGTTTTGACAAGCAGGGTCTGATATAAATCATAATAAATAAGAATTAAATTTAATCAAATATCAAAGTCATACTTTTGATAAGTCTAACTATGTCAGTATAATATTTTTTTAAGAAAAAAATGGTCCTTACATTTGTAGATTTCGTTACTGCGGAAGTCTACATCAGGACAGCCAGAAACAAAATTGGAACATTTGTGTATAAAAAGTTTATCCTCTGCAGTTTTCAAACAATTACCTGAAAAGTATTATAAGACATTTGAAGAATTCTAAACAGAAGGATCAACTCTAATCGTTGTCAAACACTGGCTTAGATTTTGCTTGCTGAAAGAGGAAGTTAACAATATGCTTAAATTAAATGACCGTTGGTACAAAAGAATAAACATATACACACATGTATATACTTAATAACATCCTAAATAAAAATGTCACATTCAAACATCAATATGAACTAGACATATATTACTTTCAGTTCTCATTTCAAAGTTCGATCTAATAGTCCAGAGATTGGAAAACACCATGTGAAAATGTAATGAGTTAAAATATGCAGATTTGATTTTGGGTACGTTTGTTACTTTGAAAAATTACGGACTTTGAAAAACATTTTTAAAGTGCGTTAAAGTCGGGACTAATTCAACGCACTTTGAAAAAAAGTAGAATTTCTTTTCAATATCGACCATATTAACACACTTTGAAAAAAAATTGTGTATGGTTTTTTTTCAATATATTTGCAAATCTTTAGTATGATGAATAATTGAACCTGTTTGATATCTCCTCGGCAAAACAATCACCTCAAGTTGTGAAAGTGATTTTTAAAATTCCATACTTTGAAAATTCTTTCTCTCTTAAATGTTTTACTGTACTTATTTTTTTCATTTTGCATGCATTTTATGTAGACTAATATTTACTGATAGTTTAAAAAAAAAACATACCAGTTATGTACATACATCTATTTGGGTGAAGAGTAGGCATCCCTTCCGGGAAGGGGAGGGGGCTTAGGCACACAAATGCTTTGCACAAATATACATATTATAATATAGGCATTGAAAATTTGGGTTTACCTTGTGGCCAGGGGGTTTCAGGGGGTTTCCTATTTCAAATTGCTACCGATGGTTATGAACAATTTATAAGGGAAAAACAGTTTTGCCGAGAGACCTTCTGCTCGTTTTCTACTTTTTCTCAATGAGGTTATGAGGTAAAATGAGTACATGTATTTTTTTTTTCGAATGATATAGATATTACAAAACGATTCTCTCAATTACTAAAATCTAAGTCTAAAGTTTCTTTGCTATATATGCATGTCTTTTTTTAAAGTGCGTCAAATATCCCCATGGTAAAAAAATATCTAGGTTCACTCTTAACGCACTTTGAAATTGTTTTAAATTGCGTTGACTGTGTCCCAAATTTAAAGCTCTTTTGTTCAAAGTGTGTTGATTTTGTCCCAAGATAAAACACTTTGACTGACGATGGGCCAGATATGAAAAAGAAGACGTTGACACCTTGTCAGAATGGATTAGATGCATCAGATCCATGTTAAAGTCACGTATTAAAAGATTGAGGGGCAATTTGAAAACCATCTATCCTTCTGTGTTCAATAATCCAGAAGTTAAAAAAAGAATTAGATAGATTACATAAGTACGTACTGGTCCCTGCCGATATTGTCTTCGTTTGTAAGGCTCATTATATAAAGAGCTAAAGCCACGAATCATCGAAATATGCCTTAACTAAAAAATCAATGAGAAGTTCAATAAAGATAGTGTAGACTTGTAGCTTTTCCGAACTGTTTTCCTTTTTTAGATATCTATTATACTTTTTCAAGAAGAGACTTGACAGTATGGCATTGTTTTGAATGAAATTACATGAGGAACGTCATTATTTGTAACGCAACGTCATAACATCGTAAAAAGTCCTTTGCAATAGAACATTCTACAGTAACCGCTTACCTTTGTTCACCTAAGCCTTACAATAGTTTTTTTCAGAAATATGTACGTGTATTTTTAAAAGTATTTAATACTTTAATAAGACATATACATGTCACTGCATTATATGGCATTATTATTATCTAAAATAATAAATTCTGAAAAGTTTTCAGATTTTGTGACTGGATAAATAAAAAGTGAAGCCAGGCGCAGTGATTATAAAATCTTTTTCTTAACAAGAATCTGGGCCTATTATACAGAAATAGAATTATCAAAGTGGGTACGTATGTTTTTGTGTATGTGACGAACCCCGATTTATTCGTGCATTTTGACAATAAAATATATGTATCGCAGAATTCGTGAAGTTTTAAAGAAAAGGAGGGGGTTGTAAGTAAAATGAATTTGATTTCAAAGATTTAAAGTATATATAGATTGTAGCTCTAAATTCGAGTTTTTCTAGTTATATTACCAGGTAATTCGTAGTCCGCTAGATAATATTGATATCACACGCATTTTGATTTTGTTTTTTTTTTCTTTTTCTTTCAGGTATTTATCTTGTCCTTTAAGCAAAATTAAACAGTGCAACTTTTTTAATTGATTAACTATCTTTATTTTTCATGTTCTATATCGCTATCGCTTCTATTTTGTCTTTGGGGGGGGTAAGGCGTTTTAATCCTTTCATATTATATTATTGTGTACTGCATTAAAACAAATCTGCGCCTATGTTTATTGTAAAAAAGTATTTTAATAAGCAAAGGATTGTTGCTTGTCTCCAATATCACATCATGTGTGTTTATAAAAAAATATTTAAAATCGCCATGCACATAGTACTACCCGGGAATGGGACGAATTATATTTCGACCACTTCCTCTACTTTTTCAAAAGATTTTTTTATCGCCGTTTTTTTTCTCTTCCTGTTCCTTTATCCGTGAAAATCACTACCTTGCCACAGTTTTTTTTTTATATTTGAAGCGAAACCAGCCTAACTACTAGTCATAGTGAAGGGGCATTCTAGGTAACAAAAATATATGTCCCAATTCGCGTTCATATATAGATATCATATGTGGATATATATAGGTGATATGTATATAGAATGTAGTGAAAATAAAAGCTTAATTTTTTTAACACTTATTTATAATAATTGTCATCCCCAAATAACACTTTCACATCACTTCCGCAGAGATTTTCTTCTATCTATAGATAATTCAGTTATCCCGTTTCTCAAGTCTTCCATGTTATGTCTGACCACCCTAAATGTGATTAAGAATTACAACTAAAAGTAAATTAGGGTTCAAGATCAATGTTTATTTTTTTTTTTAAATTATATATGTGCAAATCGAGAGTCTGACACCTTTTTTTTTAATTTTATTCGGATAACCTCGTTTTTTCCCTCAAGATGCATTCAGATGTTACAGAATTTCGGACACATTTGACACCTTTCTATTTTAATCAGGTAATCTCGGTATTTAACTCAAAATGCATTCAGATGTTACAGAATTTAGGACATATATCAAACCTTTTTATTTAAATCGGGTAATCTCGGTATTTACCTCAAAATGCATTCAGATGTTACAGAATTACGGACACATTTGACCGCAGTTTCTATAGTAGACTAGTTACGAGACGTATTTCTTCTATAATGTATACGTGTGCGGATAGATCATCCGGAGTTATTCTGTTTCAGAGTTATTAGATTACCAAAAGATTTTTCTTTCTATTTTTCGTTCGGGAAAAAAAATTCTGCGTCGTATTATTTTTAAAGGTATGCTGTCCCATTCCCCCTTCCGCCAAAAATTAAATTAACGTAAAAACTGTCTCTATAAATAAGCTCTTTTCAAAATTGTATGATATTTTTAGTATTCATGAAATGGTTCTTACACTTCATAAAGACGTCGTCAAATATGTAAGTTGATCTTGTAAATTAGAAGTCCAAATAAAAAATTCTAAGACATCCTAATAGGCTAATAAAGAAGAGAAAAGCGAGAGAGAGAGAGAGAGAGAGAGAGAGAGCAAGCGTTTTAGAGCTTAGAGTTTTAAAATAATGTTAGCTAACTAATAATTACTGTAATCTTGAATGCATAATATTCAAAAATGCCATTTATTTCTTCATTTGAATTATCAGTGTGTAAACAAATCAAACTATTTACTCTTTTACGTATCCTAGAATACACAGTCATAGAGTTACATGCATTTTAGATATCAACTTCGGATTAGGCTTTTTTTATGTTAATAAAAAAGATTTGAAACAAGGTATAACATTCAACATCTATAGTGCTGGCAACAAATTGGAAACTCGGCACAAATCAATTCTCAACACTTTTTTTTCTAATTATAAAATTATTTTGACAAACTTCTTCAAATTATTTTTGCTCAGATTCAGTAGGCCTCACGGTCATTATGACGTCATCGTGGTATCATGTACGTAAGCATGAAAGAAAAGAGCGTAATTTTAAATGTTATATGAAAGAAATACATATTAATGGCAATTTAAGAAATTCTGTTAAAATATTATTGACAAATTGGGGATTATATAATTATCAAGAATAAATTTGATATACTAATAACTAATTTAGGGTATTTACGCATACGATGAACTTATAATTACTGTTAAAATGGAGGACCTTGCTTCAATTTCTGAAAGCTCAACGTTCATAAATTGTAAAATTCATATTGGCCACACGCGAGTACCTCTAAGATATTTTGCATAAAGGTGCATTTATGTAATATTTTTATGCATGCAAAGTTTGGAAAGGGTACTTGAGTGTGGCCACATTCAAATTTCGGAATAACTGCCATAAAATCGGCGTTTTTAAGCATTTTTTAACTACATAGGGTACATTTGTCTCTGCGCATGTGCTAATGACGGTGGCCTGTGTGCCAAAAAATTATTTGTAGCGCACCATGACATTGTGTTTTACAAAATGACATATGATAGGCTTTGTGATTTCAAACTTAAATTTTGTCTAAAATTAAAGGCAGATATTGATAGTTCGTGGCTTTAGCTCTTTAATTCTACAAGTGGTAATCCTACTTATACTCATACTTCCCTTTCTTAGCAAGAAATTCTTCAAACATTATATGTCAGTTAATATTCCACAGAGCCAAAATGAATTTGAACTACGCAGCACAGTTAAGGTGCGCAATGGAAATATCGACAACATTTTGTAATGAAAAATGTATTCATAATCGGGATGGCGATTATTTTTAGTACATAATTTATATCGGATAATTCTAATTATGGTTAATAACTACGTACCGAGGACGATTAGATTTTATATTTAGACTAGTCACGTGAAGCGAAAGTCACGCGATTTTGGCA